CATCTCCAGTTGGGTGTGGAAGGGGAGACCCACTTCAGCAAGGAGGCTGCAAAGCCCAGCACGGGTGTTTTGGGAGAAGCCAGGCTCCTCAGCACGGTCTCCCAGACGGGCCCCCGCGGCGCAGCCATCCAGATGTTTCCCTCCATGAAGTCACCCCTCGCAGAGTTTCCCAAATGTGGTGTCAGCTTTCCCATCCCCTAACGAGACCAGCCTGCCTGTGGCTCCCTCGGCGCCCACACCCCCTCCCCAGGCCAGGCAGCAGACCAGGAGGAGCTGTGATGAGATGGTTTTGTCCTGCCAGCCCCACGTCCCCTCCTCAAGGACCACGGCTTAAGCCTGGCTGGGTGCAAGCTCCTAACACCTCACGATCTGCCCAGCCCTGAATGCTCCAGCAGAACAAAACCTCATCTTTTGCTCATCCTCTCAAAGGCTGCAGCACAGTTTGGGGGATGAGGGTGAGGTCAACGTTGATAAATCTGCCCCCTGCACATGTATTGGGCCTTTGCCCCTGCAGCCTTGAAGGCTGGCCAGCCTTGGGGTCAACAAGACCCCAGCTGCTGCTCCCCCCACGGCTGGCCCAGGTCCCCAAATAGCCCTTGAGCCCAGAGGAGCAAGGAGGGTGACCAGCCTGGCTGACCTTGACCTGCCAAAATAAGCCCAGGCTCAAGCACGAAAGGAGAGAGCAAATAACCCTGGTGCTGCCATTTCCTGGTTAGTAGAGTCCAAAACCCTACAGGACCTTTTTAATAGGTGTTAAATGACTCCAGGTCTTGGGAGGATGGCAAGAAGAAACCTGGGCATTTCTTGCAGCTGTTTCTCTGAGTGGGTGCTCCCACAATGCTCCCCAGCCACGGCGGGGAGGCTGCAGCAGCAGGAGGCATCAGCAGGGCTGGATAAATTCTGTCTGACTTTCCCTCAAGTAGTTGGAAAAGGAGATTCCCACAAGGGCAAACAGCTTAAATTTGGGAGAACTGCCCCTTTCTGCGTGCAAGATGTGTCCTAAATGGGTGTGTCCAGCCCATTTCACATGTGTCCCCATGCCCAAGGCTCTTTCAGGTGCCCTGCTGCCATTTCACATCCCCCTCCATCCATGTCCCAGCCCTTCACGTCACAGCTCGAGGCTGGCCACCTCTCCAAGGTGTGTGTCACCTGCCAGCAGCCGTGGAAGTCGCCCTGCTCTGCAGAAATAATCCTTCTTCTGCCTAGAGCAAGACCCTCCCTGGCCTGGGGCTTCGCTCCCACGTTTCCATCGGGGAGCGTTTCACGTTTGGAAAGGCATTTCCTTCCCCTTAGACACTACCCTGAGACTCAGTCTGGCTCCTCCCCACTCCTCAGCATGGGATTTACATATTTCAGGTTAAACTCAATTAAAAATGTCCAAGTTTAGTATTTCTCATGCTCCCCTAGAGTCCAGTCCCTCCCCTTCCCCAGCACTACACCCAAGGGGCTTTCCCCATCCAGTTGCTTCCCAGCCCAAGGGTGCCAACACATGGGTGTTTCCTCGTTCTTGTGGTGCTGTGACACACCCAGAAAACGTCACCAGTGCCAGCTCTGACAGGGTCCACCTATCTCACAAAGCATCTCAGCCTGGGGTGACTGGGCAGGGCTGACCCTGCCTCCTCCCTTCCTTGTGTAGGCTTCTTTGTCCCCCAGTTATTGTTTCTTTTGAGCTACTTGAGGATGTCCTGGACCAATGGGTAGGGGAATATTTTTCCATTGAAAGGTTTTTAGTGACGTTTTCTTCTGGGAATTTGTCCTGTCACTCTTCAAACTGGTGCAAACCCATCATTTCAGCTGCTCCCAGTGCAGCCTTGTCTCCTTGCCTTGCTCCTCTGCAAGCCAACCTCAGCAAGGCCATGCAGCAACCTGCTCCGTGCTGCTGAGTGGGCTCCCCAAGCCTCTGCTGCTGCTGAACATTTCAGGCTGGATAGAAACCTTGTAGAAGGCTTTTGAGGCAGCTGGAAGGAGGTTTCAGCCACAGCCACCAACATTCTGTGCAGGAGGGAGGGATGTGGAGGCTCTGGCTGTGCCTGGCCACATCTCCCTTGCTGGGCTGGGGCAGCAGAGAATGAGAAAAGGTTCAGTGATCTCAGGAGTCACTTCTCTCTCCCTTTCAATGCCTAATCTAGTGACTTGCTCAGAAACAAGAAGTTTTCTTCCTTACCTTTGAAGTTGAAATGAGGTTGAAGTGGAGAATCATAGAATGGTTTGGGTGGGAAGGGAATTTTAAAGCTCATCTAGTCCACCCCCCCCTGCAGAGAACAGGGACATCTTCAACTCCATCATGAGGGACACGAATTGCTCTGTACATGCACATACATTATACATGCTCTACTACTCCAGCAGGCATGCTAACGAGCCAGACTAATTAAAGCTTTCTAACGGCATCGCTGCCACTGCTTTGATAATCTCCTCTTGATAATATTTACTTGCTGCCAGTGTATTTATTAAGGAGAATTCCAGAGAGCCCAGGGTGTGCTTCCTTCCAGGAGACCACGAGCAGCATTGAGCCCAACTCAGGTGACAGGGTCAGGGGCTAGATAAAAACAGGTCTGGAGGGGGAGGGATTGAAGTTGCTGTTCATGATCATTTACTTCCCCCCCAGTGAGAACCTGCAGGTCACTGGAAGGAATGAGGTCCCAGCTGGAACAGAATTGCTGTTTTATTGCTGTCTGTGTCATGCACAGGGTGATCTCAACAAACATCATCATCAGGCCTTGAGAGGAACCAAAACTGGGCTCCCTGCCCATGCACAGCCCCTCACTCTGCACCCAGCAAATGTCACCTTGTGTCCTTGGACAGCCTGTTGGCCACGGGAGCTGCAGCTCTGTGGTCACCCACTAATACAAGAGGCATCTAAACCCCCTGGGGACAGGGGCCCTGCCCCAACACACCTCCACTGCCACCCCAAGAACTCCCCTTCCCTGCAGTAGGGTCCTTCAAAACAGGGAAAAGAAGAACATTTCAGGGGAACTGGATGTGTTCATGGGGCTTTACACTGCAGCTTCTTCCTCACGACATGGGCTAAAGCCAAGAGCCTGGGGCAGCTCTAGGAGCTCCTGGAAATCTGCAGATGGTTTTTCAGGTGGAAGACCCTTTCCAAGCCCTGGGCTTTGTGCCCCCACACGCAGTGCTTCGTCGGCCACTCTCTTTTGGGGAAGGGCAGCAAAGGGCAGCTCTGGAGGCCAATGCTCAAAGCTGAAGTCTTCCCAAGGGAAGTCTTGAGGTGGAAGGATTTGGCCCAGGGACAGGCATCATCTTCCAGATCTAGCAGGAGCAGTGGAATGAGTGACCATCTGCTCCAGCTCCCCAGAGCTGCTCATAGAGGGGAAGAGACTGTTCATGGAGCTCACCTGCAGAATAGCATTTATCCTTTATCCACATCTGGCTCAGCTCCATCAACAGTGTTAAAGTCTTAAATTTCTCCAGTTCCTCAGAACTGAACTGGCTCTAAAGATGAGAAGAGCACCAGGGTCAGCTGATGAGATCCCAGGAGCTAGGAGAGACGTGCGTGTCTGCAGTCAGACAAGGCCAGGCAGGAGCATGGACAATTACTTGGTAATAAAAACTGATGCCTCATAAGTTTATTGCTCTTCTTTGAGTCAGTCACCAAGCACACAGCTAAGGCAGATGTGGCACATTTTTCTGCTCGAATTTCCAAAGAGGTTCACTAAGGTCCACCAAGGGCTCTTCAAGGAACTAAGCAGCCTCAGGAAGGTCTCATCTAGACAGGGAGTGTTAGGAGAACAGGAGGAAGATGGGAGGGATAAAGATTCAGATTTCAGAGTGAAGGATTTCTTCTTAGATTGTGCTGGTCAATGTAAACAGCCAAGGTGCAAAGCAGAGAAAAAAAACAAAGGTGGCAAAGGTTGCTCATGAAAATAAGAGACTGGCAATGCTAGAGATAAGGTCTTGCTGATGGTTCTTCATCAGAATGACTGCGTGAGGCAACACAGAGGACATTCTTTGGAAATATTTGCTGAACGCTGCTGATGGAGAGAACAATTGCATCTCTGTAAGCCCTGCTGGCCCCTGAGCTGCTTTTCCTCATGGAAACATCCTGGGGTGAGGACAGACCTTTGAAAAGCTCGGCTGAGGGCTCGGCAGAGCTCAGGGGAACAGAGGGATGGCCAGAGGTCTCGGCAGGGAGCCGGGAAGGACACGGCTGTGTCTGCTGACTCCATGCCATGGGGCTCCCCAACCTGCAAAGGGAACAATTTCCAGGGAAACAACCTGAACGGCAGCAGGAAGCTCAACAAAGGCCAATTATTCACTGTTTTTTGAAGATGTGGCCTAGAAGCATGGGCTGATGGCAGAAGTTGTGTTGTTCCAGGCACAAGGGAGGAGGTAGCTCATCCTGTGCTGGTCCTGAGTGTCTCTTTGCCACAGGGTGCTGCAGGATCTGCAACTTGAGGTTCTTTCAGGAGCATCCACACCTTACCTGTCCCACCCTGCTGCTGTCAGACCCCTCCTCAAAGCCTCACCGTCTTGCTAACCTGTCCAAAAAGCAGCCCTGTAGAAGCAATTGAGTTGTTTTCTACCTGTTTAGCACCTGAAAGGAGGTCAGGGTGACCGAGGGCAGGACTGGGGTGCAGGGCTGGGAAGAGGCGTGTGGCCGGTTCACCCTGCAGGACCTGGCAGCCTCGTGGCGTGGCTGCCCTGTGCATGGTACAAAGTCCTTGAAGAGGTTTATGACAGGTAGTTCTCTTTCCCCTTTGGCTCTTCAACCCGTGGAGCAGATCCAGAATTGTTTGCAGAGATTGAAGGAGTTCTCTGAAGACTAGGCTGCAAGCAGCAAAACAAGTTGTTCCAGTAACTAATAGATCAACAGTAAAACCAATCTGTCAGTCTGTCCTCCAGGACAAAGACAGAGGAGCACTTAATTGCTTCCTTGTCCTTGTTCACTTCAAAGCTCCTCTTGTCCCTCCATTTCCCTCCAGTTCAATCATCCCACGAAATGACGACAGAAAGATGGCAGGGGAGAGCTGAGCCAACAGCACTTACACGAACCACCCGGAGAGATGGGGCACGACCCGGTACCTGGCCTCTGTCGTCTGCAAGAAGTGACAAGCTTTGCAGATGTGGGAGGCCCAGCTGGAGCCCACCACGGGTTTCAACCACCTGCGCCACTGGAAGTAGCGCCGGTACCTCTCGGGGTCCTCGCTCAGCCCCCGCAGGTACCGCGCCAGGTCCTCGGGGCTGGCGAAGTCGTTGATGTGGATGAAGGAGTCGGGGGGCAAGAAGCGCTCGTAGTTTTCTCGAGAAGGTCCCAGCACCACAGGGACGGTGCCAGAGGACAAGGCGTTGCGCCAGAGCTTCTCGGTGATGTAGTCTTCGTGCTGCGAGTTCTCAAAAGCCAGGTAGAAGTTGTATTTGGACAGGGTGGGGAGGAGCTTGTCCTGGGGCAGGGGCAAGTGGTAATGCCCATAGACGTCCACAGTGATGTGTTTCTTCAGCTCCTGGTAGTACCTCACGCGGTGGGAATCTTCTCTCCAGTTGCTGACTACCCAGGCCACCAGCTTGGTCTTGGGTGGGATTCTGAGGGGCTGGGGCTGGCCGAGGAGCTGCAGCTCCCCGTAAGGGGTGAAGATGTCCGAGTCTCTGCGGTAAGACATGGTGAGGTTGAAGAGGTTGTCCATGGCGCCTAAGTTTGGAGAGTGACTTGGAGACTCCAGGTTGAACCAGATCCAGCGCTGGGAGGGGAGTCTGGGGAGCTGGGCCAGCCCCCTCGGGTCCCCACAGGCGTCCCTGTGGTGCACAATGACGGCGTCGGCCCTGTGGGACCAGCTGCGGTTGAGGGTGAAGTGGCAGTTGGGGGTGCGGGAGAGCTCCGAGCAGTTGATGAAGTCAAAGTGCTGCCCAAAGGGCCACTGCCACAGCAGGATGGTCAGCGGGTGCTCGCCCTGGGGTGGGGCACCCGTCTTCTCAACGCGGGCCGTGGGAGCGGGCAGGTTGGAATTGTAATGCTCTGCCCCCGAGCTCCTGAACTGGTAGAGAAAAATAAACAGAGAGGAGCTGAAGACGAAGCTGAAGAGCAGGAAGGCGAGCTTCTTGCAGGAGATCTTCCTCCCCTCCACGAGCTCCATGAGTGGACCTGCAGACACCACAGAGAGCACAAGGAGTGACGGGCGCGCGGGGACCCCGCAGGAGGGTGGCTCTGGGGCAGGGATGTCCCCACCGGGGCTCAGGGGACAACC